CTTGTTCTTTCACTGCATTCTAGTCATATACATATGCCTCACACACAGACAGGCGTGAAAATTATGCGCTTTCTTTTTTTCTTAATTGAAAAAATGTATTTTTTTTTCTCTTCATTTTATTGGTCTTGTGTATCCGTATCCATCCCAAAAGTGCGGCTATAAATAGGTAACATACACGCCCGAGACGGACACGGCTAACAAGATGAGAATCTATTTTCAGTAAATAAATATTAAGAAATTTTTTTTATATTTTTTTTTTCACACGGTGAAAACCTATTTCCAACGTATTTTAATGTGACGTGGACAACAAAATTACAATTGAAATGGAAATTGGAAAACTTGCACGTCTAATACGAAAATCTATTGTTCAAAATTTCAACAAACTTTGATGGGCTTTAAAGCCTATTTAAGACCGAGCAAATCAGGGTGGCGGAGGGTGATGAGGGGGGGGGAGAGAAGGAACAATATATTTGTATATATGATCAGGACTAGCCTAGGCGATCTGTATGGATACGGTACCTGGGAAACTATCGATAAATATCGATTTTGAGGCAAGGCTCTTGAAGCGTTTCTCTAAAATTAGCAGATCCAGACACGCCAAATTTGGTATGTAGACTCGCGTATAGTACACACAAATTGGGAGTGTTAATCTATTTGAATAACCTCGATGTCTCCTCATTAATTGGAAAAAATACCTATTTTTAGAAGCATGATCGTGCGCTTTCAAAATAACTTTGAATATTTGTTAAAAAGTTTATATTTTTGTTTGTGGGCTGACTTAAGGTCAACTTGTTTGTATCAATAATCCTTTTTGTATTTTACAATCTATCTAATTCGTCTAATTTTCGTAGATATTTAAAATAGAAAGGTCGCCAAAAACAATCTTCTTTAGTTATATTTAAAATGAAAAAGGTATTATTTTTATTTAAACCCATCTTATGAATTTCTTACAACGTTAATCGATTTAAGCCAAAAACTCTGGAAATAATCAACAAATCGTTGAACCCATTTTGAATTACAAAAACCTTTTCTAGTATAGCACAACTTTCTAAAAATGAGGCAAATCACAGTTGCTTCATGTATTTATAGATACAAATAGTCGTTAAATAACACTTGTAAAGGCCATTATTCAACACTATAACCAAGTTTATTGAATATTTCGCACTCATGAATTCCTTGCTCCTTAAATTAGTCAACAGATTCTCCAAGAATTTAAATAAAAACATTTGTTTGTGTATTTTGTATGCAAAAGAATTGTTTTCCATTTATTTATCATAAAAATATAAACGCTTATTAACTGAGAAATTGTATTATTAAAACATACTTGTACATATTGCATTTGTATGTTTCAGAATTACAAAAGCTAAGTGTGTACATTTTTTTTAATTTTAATTTTTTTTTTTTATATTTTTTTTTATTTTGCATTTTCGTACAAAGGCCATGAAAATTGTCAATTTATTAGAGATATATTTTTCATTTAGTTGGCAAGCAAAATGAAATAATTGAATATTTGATAAAATTGAGTGTATTTGAAGCGGCAAAAAGGTGTATTTTATTATTAGATATTTACTGGTGGGTTTCAGAGAGTTCGAACAATGGAAATGAAGGTCGGCTATTTATTATCTGTGGCTTGATTTGCCTTAAATATTTTTACAGGCAGTATTTTCGTTTTCACTCAAAATTAATCAGCATCTCTTCTATATATATCCATCCATTTTACATATATATTTTATTGCTAAAAATTTGGTTTATTATAAATGTTTTAGATCTCCTTGGAATGCTTAAATAGAATGTTTCGTAGCTGAATATCGAGAGGCATTGCACTCCAATTTGTAAATCTCAGGCTGAACTTGTTGCTTATATTGTTATGGTTTAGCTTAATAGCTGTTGAGATCGGCGTATTCCAGTTCCTGGGCAATGGTTTTGTACTTCTCCTTACCTTTGCTGACCTCGTCTACGAATGCAGCGGTATAATGAAATAATGAGATACGCAAGAAATTTAGATAGTTTTTTTTTTTAGTTTATTGCATAGTTTGTGGATACAAATGATAAATAAAATTGTTGAGTCAAACAAATACACAATGCGATTGTCACATATAATTTAATGAAGGCTTTACACAAAATCTACACACATTACACTACGCTACACACACAAAAATCAAATTGCAAGCAAAATGCGTCTACAGGACGCCTACAAGTATGCTACGAAATACGAAATACAGGAGGATAAATGTGCGTTAAGTGTGAATAGATTCTGCTGCGGCTCTTTGGGGCGGGCAATGGAGCAGCGCTTATTCCTTGAGGATGAGCTCGACAAAGGCGGTGTCGAGATCGTCGCCAATATCCTTGTAACGCTCCTTCTCCAAAACAAGGTCGTCTGTTCAATGTTGTCAAATCATAATCGAAATCGAACACGGTGGAGTAAAGAACAAATATATATAAATTAATAAAAATTAAAATACAATTAAAATGTTTACAAATAAATATATATAAAAAACCTCTCACGAAACATAGAAAAACACTTTAGCTGACACTCAAAACATAAAATAAAACTAAATATTATATTTACCTCATAAATATAAAAATAAAATAAAAATGACAGCAGTTGCACTGCTTGTCAGCGGCAGCGTGTTTGGTCGGTAATGCAGTGCGCCGCTAGCTGTTAAAATTCAAAATCAAAATTAAGTGCAACAAGCACAACAAAAAAGCACAATCAGCGTTTCTTCTTTTTTTTTTTTGCATTGCTTCGGTTAAAATTTTAATAATTTTCATAGAACGTGCATCAAATCAAAAATAAAAGCAGGGCAGCATTTTGTAGCAGTTGTGTGTCTTGAGCAGCATATCGATTAGGTCGGGGGAGGGGCGGTAATCGATATTCGTTGATCGACATTCGTTGATTTAGGCTGGTGGCGCCTCGGCCTCGGCGGCTGGGGCAGCGGCTTCGGCGGCTGGCGCGGCCGCCTCAGCAGGTGGTGCAGCAGCTGCCTCAGCTGGTGGAGCAGCTGCTTCAGCCGCGGGCGCAGCAGCCTCAGCCGGTGGGGCGGCACCTTCGGCTGGTGGGGCGGCACCTTCAGCCGGTGGTGCAGCTCCCTCAGCCGGTGGCGCAGCTCCCTCAGCCGGTGGCGCAGCTCCCTCAGCCGGTGGTGCAGCGCCTTCAGCCGGTGGTGCGGCGGCTTCAGCCTCTGGTGCTGGCTCCGGCTCAGAGCCGGGTGGTGGTGGCTCATAGTTCTTGACGAAGGGCACCTCAGCACCCTCTGGTGGCAAATCAATATTATAGTCGAATGGCGGTGGTGGTGGTGGAGGTGGAGTCGGTTCCTTTGGTGGTGGTGTCGGCTCCTTTGCCACCGGTACTCCAGCCTCCGTGACGGCAGCGGGAACAGCACCTTCGACGCCCTCCTCGCCAGCCAGAGCCGCAGCAGCGGCGGCGGCCGCCTCGGCTGCGGCTCTGGCCTCCTCCATGGCAGCCAATTCTTCGGGCGTCGGTGTCGGCAGCTTGGGTGTGGGCGGCTTTGGATTGCGCACCGTCCAGAACGGCTCGAGGCCCTTGATCAGGCCCAGGAACGCCTCGTCGAGACTGTCGCCGATTAGGCAATAGCGTTCTGTTTCGACGATTATGTCGTCTGAGATGTTTCGAATGCGATCGCGATGCGTTATGTGGCAGTGGGAGAGCATTGCAAGCAGTCAGGAGAAAGAGCGAGAGCGAGCGAGATAGAGAGAGAGAGAGAGAGAGAGAGAGAGAGAGAGGCGTGGAGATTGAAAGTGTGAAAAGGAAGCAAAAGCGCAAATTAAGAAAACTAAAAATTATAAAAATGTTCTTCCAAGCAACGATTTAGTCGGCGGACAGGCTGGGGGCTGGGGGCTGAGGGGGGCCTTGGCGGGGGTTGGGTTGTTCGTGAACCGGGATTATGTTAGTGAATTTGACGAGCAAAAAAGACAATTCATCATTTGTTTTAGCCATAACGAGATCCCTCTTTTGATCTATTTCTATTTGCATAAATTAATCAATTGCAATAATGTTTTTAAGCAGGCGGAGCTTCAGCTGCGGGAGCTGCCTCAGCAGGAGCTGCCTCAGAGGGAGCTGCCTCAGCAGGAGCTGCCTCAGAGGGAGCTGCCTCAGCGGGAACTCCCTCAGCAGGAGCTGTCGCTGCAGCAGCTCCCTCTGGAGCAGCTGCTCCCTCTGCAGGAGCTCCCTCTGGAGCAGCTGCTCCCTCTGCAGGAGCTCCCTCTGGAGCAGCTGCTCCCTCGGCGGGAGCTCCCTCTGGAGCAGCTGCTCCCTCTGCAGCAGCTCCCTCTGGAGCAGCTGCATCACCCTCCGCTGGCGGCGGCGGCGCATCGCCGGCTTCGAAATTCTTTACATATGGCACTTCGGCGCCCTCGGGCGGGAGATCAATATTGTAATCGAAGGGCGGCGGCGGTGGTGGCGTTGGCTCTTTGACTGGCTCCGCAGGAATGGGAACGTCAGCTTCTGCGACAGCAGTTCCATCGACTGCGGCGATTTCGATCGCTTGACCCTCCTCCCCTGGAGCCGCCGCGGCCGCCTCTTCGCCGGCGAGCTTGGCAGCCTCTCTGGCGGCGGCTGCCCGGCGTGCCGCCTCTTTGGCGGCGATCTCCTCTTCGGTTAGCTCGGGCGTGGGCGGCTTGGGGTAGCGGTCGTTATAGAAGGGCGGCATGCCCATCAGCTCGACAAACGTAAAGTCCAAGCTATCGTTAATGATTGCATAATGCTCTTTCTCGTTGATCATCTCGTCTGTTGACGTTGGTTTAGTGGTCGGTTCATTGGTTAGTCAGTGTTATTAAGAAGTAAAAAATTGGATTAGTGCAAATATTGGCAGCTCTTGTTATGGCTAGTTAACTCTGGAATCCAAGTAGCCGATCGTGGGGGTAAACAATTTTCACAATAACTGGGAGAACGTTTGGCGGAAACACGAAATCCTTGGGTTAGTAGAACGTCTATTTGTTATTTATTTATTTTGATTTTGATTTTATTTCTTGTAAAAGAGTTGTTGTTGAAAAATACTTTATTTGTGCAATTGCAGCAGCATGGTAATGTATTTGTATAGTATGTAATATATATGTATGTATATATTAAAAATATAAATAATTAATTTATGTAAATCGTAAATAAATCAATTTGCTTTTCATTTCATTCGTTATGATGACATTTAATGTTAGGCTTGTATTTTCCTTTTTTTTTAACTTGCTCAGCAGGGCAAGAACACATTTTCAGCCAGTTAGCGAAATGAAAATAGGTTTTCCTTTTTCTTTGTTTAATTTCAAATACATTTCAAGAAGGGCGTTAAGAACTGTCGAATTATGAATGCTTAAAATTGGAATGATGTGCGCTGTGTGCGTGTCATTTTTTGACTTGTTGTCTTTGTTTATTTGTTTATGTATTTGTAATTTGCTTTGAATTTGTGTCTAAATAATAGGCGTGGCAACTTATAAATAAGCAAATATTACACAACGTTCTGCATACGCGATTTGTTTAAATTGTATAAACAATGTAAATATTAGCATAATTAATACAGTAGTTAAGCTGGCGACAAAAATACAAATCTTTTCGTTTTTTACTTTACATACAAATTGTATAAATAATTACACATAAACTAATTTGCAAGTTGTGTCTTTTGTCATCTATAATAATTATTCTTCAATCAATATCAAAACAAATTAGAAAGCGCAGAAAAGGCAAAGAAAACGAAAGAAAGAAAATGTTAAAACAAAATATTGCAACAGTATTAAATAAAGCATCGAGTGTTAAAAGTGCCGCCATTTTGTGCCATTCATTCCAAATGACAGCGACCAAGCAGTCCACAGCTTGCACTGCTTGCAAGTATGCATGAGTGTATGCGCAATACACACATATGTAAATTTGGAATGCGTTTGCTACAAGAGAACATTTTTCTTTTGTCATTTGTTTTTTTTGTCTTTTTTATGGTGATATAGTTTTTCTTTTCTTTCTTGTCTGCTTTTCTTTGAGTTTACCGCTTAATAATTAACGTTTTCCTTTAGAGTTTATCAAAATTGGCGTTCACTCTATCTTTGCATGGAAGACACTTGGCGTTGTCCTGTGTGTCTCAGAATGTGTGCGTGTGTGTTTGTGTATGTGTGTGTGTGTGTGTGTGTGGTTGTTTCTATTATTATAATATGGAAAGCGCCAGTTTTCTGTATTGACGTCAAAGCAGGCAGTTTAGTTAATTTACATAAGCAAATTATTTGTTTACATGTTCTGTATGTCATGTAAAGTGGATTCCATTTCCTCCTGCAGCAGTTTGTTCTTGGCTCGTACGTTCAACAAGTCGTCTGTTTTTTTTTTTTTGTTTTTGTGTTTTTCGTTAAAACAATAACAAAAACAGCAACACGTGGCATGCATAAAAAAAAAATAAACAATAAACATTAGGGCGTTGGCGGTTCGCAGGCGGCGAGGCGGGCGGGGAGCGTACAAGCGGCACACAAGTTGTAATTTGTTTGTATTATTTTTGTTTTGTTAAGAACAACAACGAACAAAATCATATGAAAAATAAACACAAAAATATATATTAATTGGTATAGAAATAAAAATAATTAATTTAAATCTGGACTAACATAAGGAACTTCAGTTTGGAACAAGGAACTTAATTTTGCACCTACTTATAAATATGTAAATATATGTATGTAAATATACTATATTGGGAAATGTGAAAAATGTATTCTATTAAATAATAAATAAAAATGCTCAAATAACTACAGCTTGTATATTTGCAATTAATTGAAATACTGCTACAAATATATAAATATAATCAAATTTGTACTATTTTTGCTATCACTTTCTAATTTGCCTTTTTAAAGTCTTAGGGAAATAAGAAAATATTCTTTAACAGACATACCTTCGAGCCTGTCGACTTCCTTCTGCAACTTCTGAACGGAACGTTCAGCGAATTCAGCGCGTGCCTCAGCCTTTAAGTGTTGGTAAATAGAAGGTAAAATTATGTTATATTAGTCAAAATCTTTGACGCAAATTCGTTACAAGTAGCGACAAAAATATAACCAACATGAACAATACAACTTTCACAAGCTGTTAAGCACACGCACTGTTCATGTTGGTTAACATTCGAGTTCTGTTGAAACGCCAGTGCTGTAAAGCGCAATGCGACATTCTTTGCGTTTCAATAGAATTGAAAAATTGTACGCTTATTATACTTAAAAGAAGCTTCCCAACATTTGCTACCAAAACCAGCGGTAAGTAATATAATTTCTATGACAAATGAGTATTAGTGTATGTAGATTAAATTAAATACTTTATATAATGAATGTGTGATATAGATAATAGATAATAACATTCAATAAACAGCATAACAATTAATATAACACAATTTTGATCACTTAATCAATAATGCTTACAAAACTTGTAGACACTTTTTTTGAGGGAGTTTTTGTTTAGACAAAACCTAAAGTTGACAAATTAAATAATATTACGGGAGCGTAGATAATATATTAACTACAACTATTTCTGTACGACGCTACGCAGTCACTGCATGAAAGACAAAATGTAAAACAAATTGAAAATGGCCGCCAATTCGAAATGCTGTTAAAATTATTTCGTCTTTTTTTTTAAACATCAGCAGAATTTTAATTAAAAAAAAAAAAAAGGAGTACTGTAGGCTGCGGCGACTTACAGTTTCTACATTTAATTTGAACTGTATGAGCTCCTGTTCAACAATTTTTTGATTTTCGCGTGCCTAGACGTCGAGAAATATACAACAAATATTTGGTATATCAATAACAGTGCTTAGGACAAACATCATTATCATTATCATCATCATCATCATCATCATTATTGTGTGCGGAGTGCGTGTTTGTGTGCAGTGTGTATGTATGTGTGTGTGTGTGTGTGTTTGTGCTTTGGCAATAAAATATCTACCGAATCTTCTATAATTAATTCATTATTTTTCAAGTCGTTTTGCATTTAACAATCACAGTTAATGTTCTTTGAAAATGTTTGGGTACAGTTGCTACTGAGCTGTCCATAATGGAGCAGTGTTGTAAAACGTCAGACTTTGGTTCATTTGCAATAAATGCACAAAAAGTTGTTTTCAATTTTCAAGTAATGTACACACACACGTCCCAAATATAAATACTTGCCATGATGCACGCTATTGATATACATTGCAATCTCTGCTTATTTATTTATTTATTTGTTGTATCTTTTCCAAGACGTTTGGGCAATTGCGCCTTTTTTCTCTATTTTAGTTTAGTTTTAAGTGTTTTTTTTTTTTTTTGTGTTAAAAAGAAAATATCAAATGTCGAATAACGAATTTGTCGTGACGACTATGTACAATTAATTTAAAATTGAGAATAACGATTTGTGCAATTTAATATTTTCTTTTTTAGTTATGCGAAAAATAAAAAAACAAAAGTGATTAAAATTAATGCATTTACCAACACCAGAGACCACAAATATTAACCTTCAACCGCGTACGCTTACAAATACTGTAGAATATATATATAGTATACAATTGTGTATATACCTCTTTCAAGGAATGATCCAAAACTTTGATTTGCGTTTCAAAGGTTTCCTCTTTTTGTGTAGCCTAATTTGTTTATTTTGTGGTCGTTGGTTGTATTGGTTGGGACATAAATGTTTGGGTTAGGCAAAACGTAAATTGCATAAATTGTTGGCGCATGCACAATTTGAGGCGTGGCATAAAGGGGGCGGTGGGGGGTGTGGAGGAGCAAGTTTGAAGCCGTTTTTTTTTTTTTGGTGTGTGTTGATCAAAAAATCCAGTGCACAAATCATTTGTAGTTATATATCGAAAGAATATAAACAAAAATAATTGGTTTATCAGCAACATTAAAGCGGAGCGTGTTAACAAAATATGAAAATAAAATAGAAAATAAATAACAATTAGTAAACATATCAGAATAAACATATTAAAGGGCGGGCATAAACAAGCTGCACTGTCGGTAGACATTTTATACGATTGCACGCGCAGCGACCAGTGTTGTACAGTGGCTTTTGATCGCCTTTGAGCGTTCATGTGCGCTCAATAAAGAAAAAAAAGAATGAAAAAAAAAAAACATAAACAACAACAATTATATATAAAACAGAATGTAACAGAAATATCGCTGGTTGGTTTTGATTGCATTTCCACAGCTCTGGGAAACTCCTTTTGCAAATTGCTTGAGAAATTTGTTGTTGTTGTTGTTGTTGTTGGTATCTACCTCCTTTAGACGAGTGTTCAGGGTCTTGATTTGGTTCTTGTACTCTTCCTCGCGTTGGTTGGCCTATTTATTGTTGTTGTTGTTGTTGTTGTTGTTGTTTATGGGATTTGTAGGGGCATACATATATAATTTTGTTGTAATGTAAGAGTAAATAATACAAAATATATAGATTTTAATGATGTCAAATAGTTTGATTAAACGTTGATCAATTTGTGATCGAGCACAAAATGTAGAATGATAATAGATCAATGAATCGAAACATTTCGTACTAACCTTCTCCTCAGAGACCTCCAGGGACTTCAAGTTGTTGCCGACAACGCGCAGCTCCTCCTCAAGCTCCACAATTTTGCTATACACAAAAGTAAACAACACACATTAGATGAATATATTATACAAATAGATTTCGATAGTTTTTCTTCTTTTTTTTTTCTCATGGGAACACAAAAAGCGCGTTTCATGCGTTAATTAAATAACATTTTGTAGGCAATTTTTATCGCCAACGCCAAAAGACAATGAAGAGACAAACTAAAAAAAAAAGTTGACACTTTACTTTCAAATCTTTGAGTCTGGAGGCTACAGAAGAGTAGAAAAAATGGGCAACAGCCAAATCATGACGGACACAAAACAGACGAAGGTCTGCCAAATATTTCGAGTGAAAAAAAAAATAAATTCATAAAATAATATTAATAATAACAACAATTGTTGGAGTCGACAACATTTCACTCTGATGCGATTTCACTTTTTATTTACGTTTTCTTTGCCCGCGGGCAATTTTAGTTTTTTTTTCTATATATGTATATTTTTCAACACTATGCAAAATATAAATAAACATATTGTCAAATTGGGCTGGCGTTCAAAATTGAATTTGAGTCAAGTGCAGTTAGTATTTGAAGGCAGAAAAAGCAGGACAAACCTTTCGCTAAGCTCAACCTTTTCCTCGGAACGCTCCAGGTCCTGTTCCATGAGCACTAATTTTCTGGCCACCTTCAGGCGAGGCGTTGCCAGGCGTTAACAGCAGTCGGGGCGGGGCATAAACAGGCAGGCGGGGGTATTAGAGAACACAGACATAGCAACAAACACGGCAACAGGTAGGCATCGCATTTTGGGTTAGGCATTGAGCGTATATAAGAAAGGGTATTTTCATTAGTTGAATTAACGATTATGTTGACAATTGCATTTGGCCGAAAATGTGAATATGTTGTGCATATGATGAACTTTTTGCATAAATTATTTCTAAACTAGAAAACATGCGCGTTACACACACACACATTCATTAATTTATAGAAATATTCACATTTTTTACCAATTTTTCAAAAGTATATGCCAAGCTAGCTAGCTAAGGAAAACGAAAACGAAATTCGAAAAAATAAACAATAATAATAATAAACTAAAACTATGCAAAAATGCACTTTGAACAAAAATAAGGTTAGGTTGCGTTGGTATTTTTTTTTAAACATTTTTAACATAGGGTTAACCTGTTAGTTAACAGCGCTGCAAAAAACAAACTTATATAACTATGGCCACACTGTTTGTTTAATTTTGTTTTAGGCACAACAATTCGAAAGCTTTGGCGCAACATTTAACTGAAATTTCAAAATAATTTGTTCACGTACTTTTCACCCTGTTCGGCACGTTCTTCGGCACGCTCCAAATCAGCTTCAACCATGGCCAATTTACGGGCAACCTTTCATTTATATATTTATATGCATGTATGGGATTTCATTTGTTGATTTTTATACATAATTTAACATATGCGTCGTCGTTTTTGAATATACACAAAGAACATAGAAAATGCGTTAAAATTTGGATGTCAATTTATCTTACACGAATTTAGTATTAACATTTGGCAGGATGAAATATGCAGGTTATGTTTTCAGTATGAAAGGATTTTCTTTTTTTTTTTTTGGTAGTAAACAATCGAATAATTGTGAAATTATTTGTTAGTTTTGCGTGTATTTTGTGAGTATTTTGTTGTTGTTTATTTTGGTGTCTGATAACTTGTGCTTCTTATCGTTGTGTCTTAAGTATTTAAAGCTATCCTTAACTTGGTAATGTACTCAATTTGCATGGCTGCTTAAGACTAGTTAATTATAGGCCAAAAACAACCCGATGGAATTGTGTTTTCCCTTTGCTGCAGTTGTACATTATGGAGCGCAAGAATTTATGTAATTATAGCCTCAAAAACTAGTTACTAATTACTTTTGCTGTTTATAGTAACTATCTTTTAAAACGGAAATTAGATTCGTTTATGGAGATACTTTGGACAGTACGAAAATATATGTAGCTTCTCTCAGGAAATCGTGACTTTTATGAAAAAGATGTTCCAGTAATATTGGCTAAGCAACAATATATGGTATGACTAACAAGCGCGATTAGAACTTTTAAAGTTTGATGTGTGGCTAACAAGTTAAATGAATTTGTCCAAAATCGAGAGCGGCGACTTGAGGAAATTAGCCTTGCCAAATTGGTAGCTGGCGCCGCAGCTGGCGACTCTCTGTGTATTTTGATATGCGAGAAGCGCTGCTTCTGTTGATTTTTAATTACACGCCAACCAAAACTGAATTTCCTGTTCCGAGTCATATGCAAAAGCGTTGAAACGTCGCTGAATATAACTATTTAAAAAGGAACGCATTGCGAAGGTTTCATAAATAACATTCAGCACAGGTTCAGGTTTCAGGCGACGCATCGCAAAAACCTGGAAGCAACCTCCTCAAAAAGAGAGTCGTACGCAGCCGAGGAATGAGTCGTATGAGTCAGAGCCAAGCAGAGGCCGGACATACTCATGTATTCATACGTGTGAGTGTCGTTTGCCTGGGTCAAACAATTATTTGATTCATCATCGAGGAGTTGTGCAACACTTTTTTGTGTTTTTTTTTTCCTTTTTTGCCCAGCTGCTTATGTCACGATGGAATGGCCAACGCTAAATATAAAAATTAACGGCCCATGCAACACGCTCCATTCCAAGTTCCCATTTCGCTGTCGAAGAGGGAATCGCGGGCGCGCGCTTATCAGTCAACTCGCCAATTGTATTTCTTGTTCTCCTTTGCTTTCCGTTCAAAATTTATGTATTTGCCGTATATATAGTAGATAGATAGATAGGCAGCAGGCGTGGTTGCTTATCGTTTCTCGCAGTTTATCAATAGCCTCCATTTAGCCGATATGATTGACGTACGGAACACGTAAGCACCAGGTTGGGGCAAAAAACAGAAAGTGCTAACACAATAAATTGAGGTACAAGGCAAATCGTGTTGCCAAAAGCTTATATAAAAAAAAGTTTAGCTAAGCCAGAGCTATAAATCAAAACATTTCCTGGGAATTGTATTGTCAAAGCATTTTAGTTTATTCCCTGGAATATAAACAAACATTACAAACTTGATCTGGATTGTTTTGTTAACTTTTGCATCTGACGAATCTCCTCTGCAGGGAATGTTCCTAGACTTGCCAAGTTGAGGTCATATCATTTCATTTCTCTATACGCAACCTATAAGTATGTTCTGTTGAGAGCCTAAGTTAAAGCTTTTCAATGAATTGAATCCTGAATGAAACCTAAATATGCGCTCTTTAAGAATGTACAACAGCTTCGAGTGGAAAACAAATTGCTGCACAACTCCAACGTAACAGAATTAAATGTTTATAAATAGTTTTTCATTGTTAACTTTATTGCAAAAATATTATAATTCAATTAAATGTTAATATGTGTTACATATTTGCTTTGTATGCAATATTTGTGGACTTGTTTTAGAATCGGCTTACGCTTTACACAATTCCCATTCATAATTTGTACATCAAATTTCAAATATAAACCCAACCAAATTTGGACATATCAAATATACAATAGAAAAATTATATTATTTAAGTGCCAATTTAAAAATGATTTGCAATCTGTTTAACCAATTGGGATTTGTTTACATATTTCTATCAATCGTTATTTCATTGCTTGCCAGCACATTTTGAGTACATTAACAATTTGTATTGGATCGCTTAACATTTACTTTACATAACGCTCTAAATATTTATTGTTGTTTTTGTTTTATACGAAAGACACACATATTTGTTCAGACATAACATTCCAAAAAATTTCATATTCAGCATACATATATATATATATATATATATATATATACATCAATACAATGGATCGACTAATACAGTTAATTAATTTCCTCCTTTTTTTTTTATATTTTTATATGTATATAGCATTTGTATATATGGATAAGTATATCGTTTAACGGGCGGCTAAGGCAGCGGCATGCCAGCTTTTCTATAGCTATAGCTGCACTTTTATCAACATCATTTAATCATCATCAATATCATTAACATCATCATCATCATCATCATCATTAACATCATCATTGTCAGTGATTTAAGCACAAGTTTTCGAATATCAGCACCTGTTTTCAGCCGCCGATTCCTGTGCCAAATTCTGTTTTAGGCTCAATTAAGACCAAAGTTGAATACAACTTGCTTGTTGGCATAGAAATCGGAGACGGGATCAAGTATCATTAGGTTTGTGTTCATTATTGTTGTTGTGTTCGCTTTTTGTTGTTGGTGTTGATGGTGTTGATGGTGTTGTGGAGGACAATGTTGAAGCTTCACCAACAGCAGCAGCAGCACTAGTTGCATTGTTATTGTTGTTGTTGGTTGTTATTGTTGTTGTGTTTGTTGTGTTTGGGTGACATGGTTTGCTGTTACTGTTGTTATTGTTGCTTAAGTTTATGAAATTGGTATTTAGCTGCACCTCATCGTATTTCTTGTCAGCCTCCTCAGCAAGGAAACGCGCTTCCTTCAGCTGATTCTCAAGAGCGTCCATGCGTTCTTCATCGGCAAGGGCGCGATTCTCAAGAATCTTGCGAGCACTATACATATATATATACACATATATATATAGAAATTTGATAAATTACAGGTTGATCACGTTACGACCATGCCCATAGAAGACAGTGACCAAGTTGTTATATCGATGATTTGTCATTTCAATTATTTTTGGTACAGCCCCAAATCAGGTGTATAGTTCGACGTCATCCATATCCACATCGGTGTAGAAAGTGTCGAGTTGTTGTTGTTGTTGTTGTTGTTGTTGTTGTTGTTGTAGATTATGACAAACACATGGATGCGCAGTTGTACAAAGAGGTAGACACAGTTTCGAACAAGAATTATGTTGAAAGATAAAGTTTCGATACGATATTTTTGGTTTTGGTTTTTGTTTAGTGGTGTTCCATAGTACAGATCAAGATTTAGAGAATTTTGCAAAAGAAACAAGAATTGGTTGTTGCTTGTTGAGTTTTACAGTTCAGTGAATAAAATAATTAAATACAAATAGTACAAAGGTACAAATAGCTGAAACAATGCTTTGTGTGCTTATTTTTCATTATTTTTTTTTTTGTATATAATACTTTTACGAGTTATCTATTTTGTAGAGTTTCAAAATTATGCAATATGTAGAGTTTTTGTATAAATGGAGATTTTCGTATATTTATGGAATAACGTGTAGACGTTTTTTTATGTAGTGTTTCAGAAATATTGTGTAGAGTTTCAAAACTATTATGTAGTTGGAAAAATATTGTAATTTGTTCTCTCTAATGCATAGTTTACAAGTTTTTACGAAAATATGGCTCCAGCCGTTTTGAGAAAAGTGTAAAAATGTAAATCTGTTTTCTCTACACAGATATAAAGCACAAGGCAATGTTTTAGCTTTTTTCACATACAAGACATAGGAATTTGAACAGCGAGTTACTAAGACACTACTATTTAAAGCTAGACACATGCCATATTCAAATAACAATATGTGTATACGTAAATATTAACTAAGTTTACAATATTTATATACAACATATTCCATGAATCCATAGTTGTTGTTGTTGTTGTTGTTGTTGTTGGCTGCGGTCGACGTTGGGCTTAAAAGCTAAAAGCTGTTTACAAGAATCGTTAAGAGATCTTAAACATACCCTACGAATATTATATATATATGTTTGGAGTTTGTAAGAGAGCGCAGTGTTTAACCCACAACCTAATTAGTAACGGTAATTTCGACGCACCTAACCTCAAAGAATATGTAGAACGAATGAAAAGAAAACGACGAGAAGATAACCCTATTAACCCTAATACCCTAACGTAGAGAGTTCTCGAGTTAAAAGCAATAAGATAATTATACCTCTTCATATTTCTTATCAGCTTCTTCTGCAATTAATTTTGCTTGCGCTAATTGGTTCTCCAATAGAGCTACTTTGTCATCTTCCATATTTGTACGATTTTCAAGCACTTTTCGTATCCTAAATTTCAAAAGCAATTATAAAAAGGCATTTTAAATATACATATACCGTAGGTAGAACTTGAACTTGTTACTTAAGTTTGCTTATATAGGCTGTAGACTAATTAATTCATTAATTATGTATACAATTTGACAATTTTAAGGTTAAAAATAATATATAGAAATTTGTACTAACCGTTCGCTCTCATCGGCGGCCTGAGAGGCTTCCGACAGCTTGGCTGTGGCGGAACCGAGACGCTCCTCAGAGCGTTCCAAGTCTTCTTCGAGCAATTGAATGCGACGGTTCAATGCAAGGACCTCAGATTCGGCCTATAAAACAAATATTCGATGTTCGACAAGAACGAACAAGACAATATAGCAAACGCGTACAAACGAACTTAAAAACTAAGTAAATACTTATAATAGCTTAAGAACTTAGTAACTAAAGCATGAAATACACTGAAATTTATTTGTTTATATTTGCTACTTTTGGTATAAAAATGTTTGTCCCTCATATTTGCGCTCTCTCCCATAAAAGAAACTATCTCATATTTATATATAGAAATTTAACTGTTTTCGACCGCAGCTTGAGTTCCATCTGAAATTAGAGTTTTCTTCTTTTTTCCTTCCACCTTTTTGTCGCACCGTTCATCAGAGCAAGCGTTTTAGCCAGTTAATCAAGCAAGGTCGCCGGCGTCAACGCCCCAAACCTGGCAACAAAATGTTTGCTTGCGTGTCCTATCGATAACAGTTAAACAATAAAGATTTGGGCAATTTTGGGGGGGGAGAGGGATGCCACCACGACGAAAATCGATTACACTTGTTGTCATGCTGGCAACCCCGAAAAATAGGCAACAGCTAATCGAGCCACACGCATGACGTCAGCGCGTTTGAAAACAACCTTGCCAAAAATGAAAACAATTTGTGAAGCCAGTTTTTCCCAGCAACAGTATTTTCAAATAAAACAGAACACGAAGCATAAAGCATATGCCCATTAAAGAACGGAAAATATTTGACATTGACGCCGCCGCATGCGAGATGCGATTGCCTTTTACAGAGTATGAGAGCGAGAGAGAAAGAATGACAAATGCTGAAAAGCGTAAACGAATTAAATGTTTGTGCAGCACACAGCACAGCACAGCACACGCCCAAAAATGGCTAAAAATGGCTAAAAACGGCTTTGACCAAAAGCGGCTACAATTGGACAAGGCAGTCCAGTCCCGGTGTACTCGGCGCGAGATGGCTATATTGCCAATTTTGCATTGCATTGCAGTAAACACATACATATACATAAATATTTATATGTACATATACTGTATGAGTGACGCTTAGAACGCGCTTCGCAAAAGTATCGTCTGATTATGAATTGGAACCAAAACCAACCGCGCCGCCGCTTTGGCTTACGTCATCGTCCAAACAGTCGATAGGCAGGCAGCATACAAAGCGCACACACACACTCACACACACACACACGTATGTAGCGTAAGTTTAACGATAAAAAGCATTTCGTATAGGGGGACCAGCGCAGCTTTCCAAAACACATACGAAAGTCACACAACAAAACCGTTGATGAAGCAACAGCAAAAAAAATGCCAAAAAAAAAAATAAAAATAAAATACTCAGCTTGAGTTTCGTTTCGTTTAAAAATAGCGGGAGTCGCTGTACGTTAAATGTGTGTGACAGAGATGGAACTAGGCAAATTTTTCGTCTTTGCTTTGAACTCATTAACAAAACGTATTGAAGATTAAACGTTTTTTTTTTAGCGCTACTCTAACATAAATTGCAAAGCTAAACAGAACAAGTTTCGGGGAGGGGTTAAGGCGAAATTTATAAAAAATTGCCGGCAAAATGCACAATGAAAGAAAGAAAACAACAAATAATAAAAACCATGAGTATGCAAAAGCTGCATGGGTAAGAAATTGTACCAAAAAATTGTTGACGGCTTAGTCACACACACCTTGAATTTTTTTTTATTTTTTCATTTGACTCAAGTTGCCGTGGCAACAAAAAAAAACATAATACAACAAAAACAGAAAGACGAGCGGCTACGTTCGAGTGCGTAGGGTGTGTTTAAATGTTGTATATGTTGCATTTTTAATTATGAAACGAAAAATAAGCCATAAAAACACAAAGTAGACAACTTCCAACTTGTAAAGCGTAAAAGTAGCGATCTCTCAAGCATAAAATATGCTAACGTTTCATATCAGTCAGCTTTCGTGTATAGCTGCTGACATGTGTGTGTGTGTTGTAATCTCGCACTGTCTGACATTTCATTACGAAATACTCTAACAGAAGAGAAAGAGAGAGCGAGAGAGTGTGTGCCTAAAAGGCAACAAATCAAAACCAATTTGTCACAATGAGGCATTGAAATTATCAGTGTTCAATTGCATGACAACAACAGCAAGAGGAAAGACGAAGCGCAGCGAGGAGAGTGTATGGAGAGAGGGAGAATGAACGCTGCTGGGACCACGCAAATGACATTGAAAGCATTGTCTAAAATAATATATATATAACAACAAAGCACATTTTGTTTTGTTTTAGCTTTTGTACAACTGAAAGGAGAAGGGGTTGAACTAAACGTCAATCACTTGACAAAAGCGTGGAAAAATGAGCGCAAAAACTAACAACTAACGGGGCACAGATGACAGACACAAACGAAATGAACTACGAAATGGGAATTTGGATAATGAAAACGAATTTCAAATTTGGGTGTGCCGTTACATTTTAAAAAGCATTGTAAATTTCTGTTATTGAAATATTTCTCTGCAGCTATTCTAAAATTTAAGGCTTAAGGTCTGTTTTTTTTTTAACCAACTTCGTAAAAAATGTAAAAAATGACGTCAACAATGTTGTCATTGCAGTGCAAACTGTGATTTCACACACAGATATGCCTAGATATATACACACAAACATACAAAATTATTTACAGCCCTTGGTTCGCTCGCGCAATTGTCTAATTAGATTCGAATTAAGCGCATATAGAAGCGTTTGTATGGGGGCTTGTGCCCAAAAATTCATCATCACAAGCACACACATAGAAACGTAAACGTTAAGAGCCCATTTATTGCTGGCCATGGCTTAAAAATCATAATTAATCGAATTTAGAACACCGCTAGCTAAACACTATGGCTTTGAACTGAATAGAAGAGCCGGTTTCGCTTCTTTATTTTTTGTTATTTCGTGTGCTTTCCCAGCGACAAAACATATCACTCTTTAGATTCCGTCTTCTGTGTTTTGAGGCATACAAGATATGCTAATGTAGAACGCTATGTAAGTATGTTTGTGACCCGTTTCGATAAGACAACGAGCATAGATTTTGAAAGGTGAATGAATTTAGTTACACAGATAACAAGAGTTTAGAATGTACGAAAACTAAAAAGTAACACAAACGCATATATGTATAAATATATATAGCAAATTGAAATTTTTTAACAAAAGATATTCCAATAGACAGGAAAACCATCGAGGAACAAAACAACACAAATGTGGCGAGAGAGACGAAAAAAGAGAACGACGGAGAGAGCGCAAGAGCGCGCAAAGAGTAGTGTGAGCGTAGGTCTGTGACAGTCTGTCAGTGAACTTGTATTCGTATTTGTGTGTCGCACAGTATCTGTGTAGGTGCGCATGTATTTGCATTGGAAACGTTGGCACTGCTCAGAAATGCTTGCGCTGGACTAATCTTGAAGCCATGGTTTGGTTCTTATTCAAAATTTATATACCAAAAGTAGCAACAAACACATAATTTTGACTGAATTGAAATTTGTATTTAATATCCAGTTGCTTACTTCTTCGCGTCGGACAACTTCAAGCTGTAGGCGCTTGTGAAATTCCTCGCATTCATCTTTATACTTTTCCATTTCTTCTTTGGTCTGACGCATTTTCTTCTTGAGTACATCCAAAAGTGTACCTTGTGGAATGCTGGTCGTCATTTTTGTGCTTTTGCTTGTACTTGGGCTTGTGGGTGTTTGGTAAGTGTTTACACTTGGACTTTGCGTTGGCAGGCGGCAGAGGCAGAGGCAGATGAGATACGCTTTTTGGCCGATTTCTTGGCGATTGGCAGTTGGCACTGAAGCACACTTATATTGGCTTTTGCCCGCTTTTTATGTATTTATTTAAATACAAATTTCTTTCTATATGGCAGCACCAAAAATTATATTTAATTTACAAACTGTGAAACACCAACACACGCACGTAGTAGAACGAATGACCGAACGAAGCGACGACACAGACAAGAGTATGCGCTAACCACCGGTTTTTTTCTTCTTTCTCTTCTACTGCTTTTTCTTCTTTTACTGGTTTGCTTCGTTGTTACTGCTTGTCGCCGTTTTTTTTTTCTTTTTGGATTTTGTGTGAAGGGCCGATTAGATTCTGGCGCACTTGATACACATTTATAGTTGAATTATAAATTAATGTTTAAATTATTTCAATATTGATATTTAATAGCAGTAAGCTGCACAGAAACTACACGCACACACACGAGAAACGAAGACGATAAAACGACGCGAGTCTGCGACTGGCATTTGTGAGTACGTAACTGGAAATGAACCGCTGAAACACTTTGCATGCTCATGTCTACAAAGCGGCGGTGGTGGTTTGTACGTTGTGCGAGAGAGACGACTGCTGTCTGTGTGTGTGCGACTTTCCAGTCTGGCAGTGCCTCGCCTATGTGTCGTGTTGTTCATATATACATGTGTGTGAGTGCGAGTGCGCTAGCCAGTGTGTATATGCCGCTTTCCCGCTGGAAAACCTGTTAAAGCCGCTAAAAATTCAGTCTACATGTTTGTTGTTGTTTGCATTAATTAGTGAAGAAATATTTGAGATTTTTGCCTTATTTCTCCAATGCAAATAATATTATGCAAAATTCCGAGCGACAAAGACGGCTAACCAATTGCCCATATGTCAGTAGAAATGAGTAAGCGACCTGTCATCAATATCTGTGTGTGTGTGTGTGCGTTTATGTGAAACCTCCCCATCCAGCACCTACCCCTGCCAACAAACAAGATAATTGTATAATACAGCATATAATGCCGGTGCTCTATCAGGCTTATCAACACGCAACCAGGAGCAGCACAAATGACTAATCAGTCGTCGGTGCGATGCCGTGTTGTGTGTTTGCAGCAGGTTGTTGTTGTTGTTGTTGTTTTTGTTGTTGTTGTTGCTGCTGCTAGTGTTTTGCGTTCGGATGTGGTGGTCCTAGCTGTGACATTTGGCGATTGTGCAAAGCTCGATATCGATAACGATAGACGGCGCGCGCGCGCAACAAGTGGAGAGACAATTTGTATTTGGCAAATGACATAATTGCTGATAATACAAACGACGATTGCCAATGGTCAATTCCAATTAAAATAAGCACGCCTGCCCATTTTTGGACAGAGTTCGGCATTGAAAAGAAATTAAAAGTAAACGTCAGTGCCACACAAATGTGCACACACTACCAAAGTGGGGGGTACACACTCGTCGCACGAAGGTCATTGGCGTTTTGCAGCGGCTGTGAGAACACGTAGAGAACATGTGTGTGTTTGTGTGTGTGTGTGTGCACACCGAGAATAAATTTAATTTAATATAAATAATAATTGAGTGGTGCGCGTCAAATTGGCGAGCCAAGTTTAAAAAGAAATACGTTTTTGGGCAGAAAACGTATTAAACTTTTTTTTAGTATTCAGTATTCAGCTGCTGTAAGCCAACTGTTGCTTTTTATGGAGTCCTACAGCTAAAACAATTCTGTGTGTTTGTGTGTTTTTGTGTGTATGGGGGTGTGTATAAACACAGATAATTGTAGCAGTTGTAATATTAAGTCTGTTTTTTTATCTGCTGCCTTTTTGGGCGCCGCCACAGATAAAAAGAGAGAGAGAGAGGCGAAGAGCGGCGGAAAGAGCTGGTGACACCCACGCTGAGAGAGCAACAGGTGCTCACGAGTTACCGTTAACCGGTCAAACAATGTGCCAACTAAGACAGAGCGCGCAATTGCGTAACTAATTAAACAATTGCCTGCAATTAAGTAAATATTCATGTTTTTGTTTTAGCTGAATAAACAGTTGAAATACTTTTGCGCTGAGCAATGGAAAAGCATATGTGCGTGCGAGTGTGTGTTAGTGAGCTTTACACGTAGAAAGAAAAGCCTTCACGATAGTTGTCGAGCGATTAAGCCAACGTATATGCATATGTATGTTTGTGTGCGACAACGGGGTCAAGATTCACACTAGTTGAAAACAATTGCAATGACAAACGACTTGGTGGGCCATCGAAGGGTTAAAGCAGAAACAGAATTCGGTGAGCGGCAAAGAAAGCAAAGCGAAGACGGCGACGGCGACGTAATCGCTTTGCAATGCACACAAATACAAATGTACAAAACTTATATATACATGTGTGTGTGTGTGTGTGTGTGCGCGCGAAAAAGAGCACAAGACAGAACAAAATTGGAACATTCATAGATTGAGTAGACAAAATTCACTGTGAACCTAACCAAACTTATGTTTTGCTCTTTGTACTATTATCTTTTTTCTTGAGGCTAAAACGCTTGCCGAGGGGCGACAACAAAGGCTGCTTGAAGAGAAAGAAATATAAATATGATTAGTGAAAATACATGTGTATATGTACATATGTATATGAATTAGAGCCCCCTCCCCGCACCGCTAATTACCCGCTTCAGCTGCGTATTCATGATGTTGTGCAGCTCATTGCGAATGATGTTGAACTTCATCATTGTGTCGGAGCTAAAGATGGAGCGCCCGAATGCCAGGCCCGGATAATCGGCGCAGCGTCCCTTGTTGCGACGCGCCTCCCGTTCGGCGACAATCTCGGCCGCTTCGCTGGTGCAGCGCAGCTTGGACCATTCCTGCGCCTGTGTATCCTCATCCTCGGTGTTCAGCACAATGCCCTCATCAATGGCGCCCGCACTGAGATCTGTCGCAATGCTGTCGCTGCTAACGTCCATGACGCCGCCGCTGCCGCCCTGGCGTTTGCTGCGCTCACGTTTGCCACCAGATGACGATGAGGACTTCTTCTTGCGCTCCGTTTTCTCCTTGTCGCCTTTGTCGCGCTTCTTCTTCTTTTTGACAGTGGCAGGCAGCGGCTCCGGTTCGGCTGCTTCGCTCTTTGTTGTTGCTGGCGTCTGTCCAGCGCCTGTCTCGTCCAGCATGCTGCTCTCATCGGTCGGGGTGGGGCTGTTGCTGCCCAAAGAGTTTGTCACCGATTCGCTCAGCGGCAGGCTGAGTGTACTGCGGCTAACAACAGTGGAGGGCTGCTCAGCCTCCAAGTCTGCTTCTGGCTGCGACTGCGTCTCGCCGCGCAGATTGGACAGCACACCCTTGGAGTCGCCGCGATAGAGTGCCGCCAGTATTTCTTGCACGTTGGGTACATTGGGACGCCGTGTACCCGCAAAACGTGGATGATGCTGATGACCGCGCCGCTTTAGAGAGGACGGCACCAGCGGCGAAGTATTGGAATTGTTGGTGCTGTGGCTGCCCGCACCGCTGGTGCTGGACAGGGCGTCGTCGTCGATACTGTTGTTGTTATGTGACATGTCTAGGTCGTAGTCACTCCAGCTCCAGTTGTCCGAAGTCTCCGAATCACTGTCCCCAACAGTCGAGTGCTGGACTTGTTGATAATTGTGGTAGAGTTGTGCTAAATAGAGTTCCGCCTGCTCATCGTAGTGGAGGAGATTATCTAGCACATTTAGCTGCTCCTCGATGGAGCACCAGCGCGATGAGAGCTCTGATTTGTTGCCGTCGGCCGCGTTGTGGCCGCTGTTGGCACGCTTGCTTTGTTGTTTTTGATTTTTTTGCTTATGCTTTTGATTATCACTTTTGTGGCTATGGAACTGTTTATTTGCATTTATTATGCGTTTATTGCGCTGCTGTTGCTGCTGCTGTTTTGTTGTTTTTGTCTGCTGTCCTGCAGCAGCTGCGCTGCTACCTGCTTTATATGGAATTGTTGATATTACTACTTATCGATATCGATACTTTCAATTAAAATATCGTGCAAATCAGCTGATTTGCAATATATCAATATCGATAGCGTAAAAGTGTGACCAGACAAGTGCACAAGGCAATTGCAATTGCACATTTCGCTTACATTTGCCTTGTGCACGTGTTTGGCTTACTTTGCATAGAATGTAAAGCATATTTGTGCGTAAGCAACAACAATATGCTTTGCATTCTACACTATGCAATTTAATGTACATGTTTCTTTATTATTACGCTGTTGCTTTAGTGGCTGCTTATCGTTGCCGCCGCTTGTCAATAGATGGCGGTGTGCGCGCTTAATTTGGTGCGCAAGCGTTTGACGACGTGCCGCGTTGCCAACGTATTTTTTGATCAGCGGCGTTTGCGTTGCCGGCTTAAAAGAAGACGTTAATGTTGTTGTTGTTGCTATTGGTGCTGCTTTTGCCGGTTTTAAATGTTTTATTTGTGTTTCTGTTGCATTTTTCGCACTGTTCGCTAATGTTTTTTTATTGCTGTGCTGGGGCTTTAATTGCCTTTGCTTGGTTTTAGCTGTTGTTAATGCCACCGCCGCTGCTTGATTTTTGCCGTAACTCACTTTTTGCCACTCATATGCATTATTAACTTTTGCAGTTCCTATTGTTAATGTTTTCTCGTACATATTAATTATATGTTGCGGCTATTTTGATTGTTGTTGTTGTTGTTGTTGTTTGTGATTTGGTGCGTGCTGTTTTGCTCTTGTTGTTGTTGCTTCTGCTCAAACAGCTGTGCTCATAGTACCGTTAGTTTGAGTCTTTTTCTATTTTTGTTGATGATTTAATACAGTTTTTTTCATTCGCTTTTTTTCAAATTTCAGTCGCGCATTGAAATGAGCAAAGGAAAATTTTGTATTTGGCCAACTTCCGCTACACGTTTTTGCATAGACGTCAATTGTTGTTGTTTGTGTTGTCGTTGTTGTTGTTGTTGCTGTTGCTGTTGTAATTGAATTTATGTAATTGAAAATCACTAAAATTTTATTTAAAGCCAATTAAATAAAAATAGTGTTTTCTATTCTATTGAATTAGAATTGCTGGTACTATTGAATTAATTTGAATTATTATTGAATTTATTAGAATTATGCGGCGTGCGGCGGCTCGGCTCGATTGCTGGTTGTTCGGCCCCTCCGGCGGTTACTTGCTGCTTGCTGCTTGCTTTGGCGTTGTACTTGAAAGTGTTGTGCGATAATTTCTTGCCGTGGCCATGCGCTCAGCTCGGCGTGCGCTCTCTTGCGCCGGACGGACAAACTGATGGCAGATCTAATTGTGTTGTTGTTGTTGGGGCAGCGCCAGCGCCCCCTGCCAAGCGGCAGCGGCAGTCGTGTGGCACATGTGCGAGTGAGTCAGCATTATGCACAAGCATTTGTGTGCATGTATTAGTGTTGCAGTGCGTTCGTTGTGGGAGGGGAAAGGAGCATCTGGCACTGTCAGCCCCAAACGCCCACACACACTAAAGTGCTTGCTCGCTCTCTTCTGCTCTCTCTCTCTCTTTCCCTATGCCTCTATCCGCTGAGAGAGTGGTCGCTCTTTATTCATTTCCATTTTTTCCTGTAAATTTCATTTGTGTTTCTATTTGATTTAATTGCCGTTCTGTGCTCTCTTCTTTGCGTATATTACTCAGCGGAGTCGTTTGTATCTCATCATCATAATTATTTATTTTAGAGATAGGGGCTGGGTAGGGCTAACGGCAAAAGTTAATTGATAAAAATATGTCTACGCCACGACTGAAAATAATTTGTCAAATCTTTTGAATTTATGTTGTCTGATAAGCATTTATTTACTTATACAGTTGGTATGCTGGTTACCTGTGGACACTAGACATACATATATGTTTTTTATGTCTTTTTTGAAACGCTGCCAATTGGCAAACTAAAACAAAAGAAATGTCCTTGAAATACTTTCGGATCTCGCACGACAGAACGTACCAATCAAAAGCCAAATCGAATGAAATGAAAATTCGTATTTTTCATTTGGAAACGCAACTAGACAGCGTACGGCCACCGAACAAGCGAAGAAAAATTTGCTAAATACTGTGCGGCTATTTCAATATTCATTGTACAAAAGGAAAACAACAATTTTGCGAGCAAATATTTTGGCAAAGCCAAAGCAAAGCGAACAAAAACAACGAAAAAGAAATAGAAACGAAAAAAAAACATCGCAGTTGGCTTTGCTTTAGCGTTATTTGATCTCACCACACACACACGCACACACACACGCGCGCGCGCGCGCGCACATGCAGCACTCTCTGTGCGTCTCTTTCGCACCAGTCCAAAGCTATTTTCACGCGCTGCATACACGAATTTAAAAATAGCGCGCACCAAAAGCGTTGCCAACGGCAAAAAATATTCGTGTGCGTGGCGTTTTATTTTTTATTTTTGTTTGAATTCTCATTTTTATTTGAAATCTATGAAGTTTTTATGGCATTTAAAAGCACAAACATACAAAACGCATTGCCCCAAACATTCGACGTGCCAACAAATTAACATCAGCTCGTAAAATTCCCGTGAAATTACTGACGGCAACCAGATGCCACAAATTTCCGGACCCGGCTCAAATTCGCTGTCACCAAACCGTTTATATATATATGTACATATGTTCGTATAAATCTTATTCTAGCATTGATTTCAAGTGTATTTCTTGCTTTTGTCTGGATTCCCATATCATAGCCCAATGACTAATGACTAATGACTAATCACTAATGGTTCGCCATGAAACAATGCCCATTCAGAATATATATCTAGTAATACTTTAATACTTAGGAATTCTTAAAAAATATTCTAAAGGCATCTATTGACCTAGTTAACATATAATTAGATATTTTGAAATGCAACGATTTTTTGTTTGTATTCTGTCAGATAAAAATCTTCATTTAAAATGAATGCTCAAGAATTTTAATATAATTATGATTAAATAATGGAAAATTTGGGTTTTTAAAGGTTTCCAACTCTATGGCCATATTTAATTAGCTGCTTTTTTTTATAACTTGTAGAAATATTGAAAGCTTTTAGTTTTCTTCTAATATTTTTTAATTTATATAAAATTTATATTATATAAAATTCTTGTAATTTTCCATGAATATTTTTAGTTTAAATTATTGAATTTAAGCATTTTAAATGGGCCAACTTTTATGGGGATTCCAGACTCTGAAATGGGTTCGCATTTATTTCTAAATCTTTTCTGTGTGTTCTTCGAAGTTAAGTTCTTGAAAAGTTTGCCAATATGGAATATGATATTTAACTGTCATAAGAATAGTTCAAAACTAGCTCCAGGATAATGATTTATATCTTGGGATCAGTTCGAAGCCAGCTCTTAATTTTTGAAAGGCGGTTAACCTCCTAACTTTCTGAGCGCCTCTGACTTTTCGATCGAACTTAACACTAATCTAATTTGTGTTTATAGAATGGAATTGAAATAAATTGGACTCACATTCTGCAGGGCCTTGTTCTTCTCCTCCAGCTTGCCAGTGACAAGGGTGAGCGCTTCCTGGGTCTGATCCAATTCGTTTTCAACGGTCTGGATCTTCTTTTGCAGCTGGCGAGCCTCCTCCTCGGCCTACAGTCAAAAAAAAAGAAAACAAAACAAAGCAGAAATCGGGCATGATTATTATTCAGTTATAAACAGGCTAATGCATGGCTATCAAAATGCATTTGTTAACAATTTAACAGGCGTTAGTAATTATTCTTCTTATTGCTTTGTTGTTATTACAAATAGTTATTTAGTCCGCCTCCTTTCACACGTCTTTAGTTTAGTGCGTGGAGCGTGTTTTTATACCCTTGCAGAGGGTATTATAATTTTGTCGTGAAATGTGTAACGCATAGAAGGAGACATCTCCGATCCCATAAAGTATATATATTCACGATCAGTATCCGTCTGTCCGTCTGTCTGTTTCTATGCGAACTAGTCTTCCAGTTTTAAAGCTATCTTCATGAAACTTTGCAGAAGTCCCTCTTTCTATAGCACGCAGTACATATGTCGAAACCAGCTGGATCGGACCACTATATCATATAGCTGCCATAGGAACGATCTGTCGCAAAGTAGGTTCTTGTATGAAAAACTTTTTTGTTTATCAAGATATCTTGACCAAACTCGGCATTTATTAGTTTTACTATGCTTCTCATATATATGCAAACTTCTATTAAAATCGGACCACTATTTCATATAGCTGCCATAGGAACGATCGATCGCAAAGTAGGTTCTTGTATGAAAAACTTTTTTGTTTATCAAGATATCTTGACCAAACTCGGCATTTATTAGTTTTACTATGCTTCTCATATATATGCAAACTTCTATTAAGATCGGACCACTATTTCATATAGCTGCCATAGGAACGATCGGTCGAAAAGTAGGTTCTTGTATGAAAAACTTTTTTGTTTATCAAGATATCTTGACCAAACTCGGCATTTATTTGTTTTACTATGCTCCTCATATATATGCAAAATCCTAACAAAATCGGACCACTATTTCATATAGCTGCCATAGGAACGATCGGTCGAAAGTTAAGTTGTATGAAAAACTTTTTTGTTTGTCAACATATCTTAACCATCCTCGGCATTAACTATTTTCCCTGTGCTTCTTAGCACTTTGAGCATTATAAAGATGTTTGGGTCTGCAAGGGTATTATATCTTCGGCTTGCCGAAGCCCTTCTTTCTCGTTGTGTTTGCCTTGGCGCTGTGCCACATGTTGCATGGTTGGGTGCTTACCTTCTCGGCGCGGGTGTTGGCATCGCGTGCCTCCTGTTCGCAGACGAGAGCACGTTCCAATGCTCCATCCTTGTCGACTTTCATCGCTTGCATCTTCTTCTTGATGGCATCCATGGTGGCTGGCTTTGTGTTTTACTGCTACACACTCGAAAGACACTGAAATGGAAAATCCGAATGGAAATGGAAATGGAAATGAAAATGAAAACAATTGTAATCCATATCAATCAAGTAATTAAAATTTATGCGATAATCCGCGCTAGATAAGTTTTCTTTGCGTTTTATCTAGCGAAAGAAAGTTAACATTTTTATTGTATTATATTTTCAGCTAAGATACACTTCAAAGATCTTCGATCAGAGTTTGACACAATTTTTGGTAGCTCTCCAATTAAAAATGCCCCCAGTTTCGCCAAGAAGATTGTGCGCTGCATAACTAAGTGCGGGCCATACTTCGTATAGCTCATCCGAAACAGTTCCCATTCTGGGCTTGTATCTCGTTTTGGGGACAAAACAAATTGTTGAAAAACGTGATGTACGTCCACGCGGACCATAGCGTTAAATGATTTACTGTGAGATGATTGACCAGAAAACCGAACAACAATAAGAACAAGACGCCAGCCAAATATTAAAATCAGACTTGTGCGCCGAAACAATAGGATATAAGCGGAGAATGGATCTGTTATTGGAAAGCGAGTCAAGACTTGAGCTGACAGCGTCGAGATCCGGAGAGTTACGAGATAAAGCTCTAAGAATTCGGGACTGATTAAATGAGCCTCTAGAAATTGTTCAAGTCAAATTGACTGAAGTAAATGTCGACTTTAATGTATTTGTCACGATTTCTTTACCAAAGTCACCTTAGAATTTCTATATACGAATTTGCTCTAAGACATTTTTTTCTCAATATTTTGCGTGCTGATCAACCCATTGAATTCATCCAAAAATATAAACAACAAAAACTCAGAAGGCTTTGAAGTTTTAAGAGAATAGAATAGAATAGAATAGAATAGAATATAATATAATAGAATGGAATGGAATGGAATGGAATGGAATGGAATGGAATGGAATGGAATGGAATGGAATGGAATGGAATGGAATAGAATAGAATGGCAAAGAATCTTATTATAGGCTGTTCCGCAAATATATCCAAAAGATTAAGAGATATATATTTTTTTGATCAGAAAAACTTGCAGAA